TTCCAGGCTTTTTTCTGTGTTTTGGTTTATTTAAATACCAAAAAGAACTCGTATAAAGCCACTTTCAGCCATTTTGGTTAAACCTTGAAAATAACACGTGCAATCTCATAATATCTCATGTCACCTGTCAGTGCTCGGAGTACCGTATTTTCCGCCGTACCCGTCGCACCGCCCTATAAGTCGCATCAGTCCAAATATGTCTATTAAAGTGGAAAATTTCTTCAAAGTTTAACAAGATAAACACCTAAAAACATTTATTTGTTTGCTTGAAATCATAGCAGAGGTGTGTCTCAGTCTAACCTTTGCTTAATAAATGCACTTTGACGGTCAAATCAACTGCATTTTCAAAAGCCGATATGCGGAAACATGAACGCGCAGAGGGCGACTCGGTCCATTTCTTCAAAATTTCACAAGATAACCACCTAAAAACAATTATTTGTTAGCTTGACTTTATAGTAAAGGTGTGTCTCAGTTGAACTTTTACTAAATAAATGCACGCTGACGGTCAAATCAGCTGCATTTCGCCAGGGCAGCGCAGCAAAATGAAGCTGACTCGGGTGCTCCAGGCAGACAACAGTGGCAGGCAATGGCAAGTTGTCGGGTGTATCAGAGATGGACAAGAAGCTAATTTGGAGTTACCAGTCAGCCTAACGTGCACGTTTTTGGTCTGTGGGAGAAAACCCACGTATGTACAGGGAGAACATGCAAACTCCACCCAGAGAGGTCCCTGTCCAGGATTCGATCCGGCGACCTTCTCGCTGAGAGACAGCAGCTCTACCAACTGTGCCACTGTGCCACCCTCATCTGATCTAGCCGATGGGAAAACTTGAAGGAACATCAAAGGAAAATGGTCAGTGATTGAGTAAAAAACGATTAAAAAGACGATGAATAGTGCAGCTTATGTATTTTGTTGACATAACTGGAGGACTCCTATAGTTCAGGCCAAATCTAACTCTGATAAGATTTAAAACATTCTGATTTTGGATCCAGGGTGTCGGACGACCGTGCAGTTCTGGTTCAACCCAGAACAGACCGATCTGGTCCTGTCCGTGCCTCCCACGGGAAACAGCTGTTATTGTAATGGAGCCTCGGCTTTAACGACAACTCCTTTATTCTGTCGAACACTGTGTCCTGACGCAGCTGGGATGGGAGAAGTGTTGCAGGAGTCTGTGTAACAGCTCAGCACAAACTCCAAAAGTGACTCACGCCGGCCGAGGGCGTCAAGTTCGAGGACATACGTGCAGAAGTGCACAGTCTGCATGCACCGAGGCATCAGCAGGAGCTGCAATGTTCTCGAGGTGAAACAAAAACCCCTCTACGCTGCAGCGGACAGCGGGAGCTGTAATGAAACTGATCATAAAACAAGAGATTTAGTGCATAAAGACATAGTGGTCCCCTTACAGCTCAATGAGCAAAGCGTCATTTCTCTTCAAACTTGATTCAGTTCAACGCAATAGTCTAAAATAGATAAGATCCGTATGAATTTGGAGTGTGAAAAAAACGATTTGTTGTTTGTTTTACTATTTTTGTCTAAAATAGTACGGTCACATATGTTCGTACCCTTAGAGACGGTTGATCTTTGCATTACTGTCACATTTAAAACTAAATATTTCACTTTGATTAGTGTCAATGTTTTTCACTTATCCTTTCAGCCTAATAAAAGGGACCAAACGTGTGCTGGGTAGTTTACGGTCGTGTTCACCAAACTGAACACGGAGCAGAGAAAGCAAAGGCGAAAGCTGTGAGCCGAGGAGCTCAGAAAAAGAGATTATAGATCTCCATGTTAAAGGTGAGGGCTGCTAGACCATCTCCAAGCATTTTCAAGTTCCTACGACTAGTTAATAATAAAAGCATGAGGCTTAAGCAACTGTAGCCACTTGCCTGGCACCTGGACGCAAGATGAAATGCAACCCCGGGTTGATCAGACAGATGGTACTGATGGTAGATGGTAGTTCAAGCAGAACTCCTTAATCGGGGTACTGTGGAGATCATGTGCTGCTAACCTTGGTCCTGAGTGGCAGGGCAGAGCCAACCCTTCTCACCTGTTCCTGATCCAGTGCTGATGAGGACTGCTGCATATAAACACCTGTGGCTCAGTAGCTCGACGCTGGAACACTGAAACCTTTCTGGTAATACAGTGACAGCCCCTGCTGATAAATTATCTTATTAGGGATGCTAACCTGAGATCCTGTCTTGTCCTAGTTTCTTCAATGTGATACCTCTGCCTGGACCCACCTGCCTCAGCGTCCTGGACCCTACAGCCTCTGCTTCCTACAACAAACAGCGCAGGGTCAATCTACTGAGTTTCCATCCTGCCACCCTCCAACTAAACACTACTCACCTTTACACCATCGCTCCTGGAAATCTTCACCCTCCTCTCCACGCCAATCTCTGCTTCTGGAACTGTAAGAAAATATAATCACTCGTGGTTAACGTCAAATCTCCCATCAACACGATACTTACCCTTGTGCTCATTTCCCTGCGGATCCATCCCGAGTCCACCTTCATTGTAAATAAACTTCATTCATTGTATTGAGTACTCTGTTTGTCTACTCTGGGTGTAAATACTGTTAAATTCTGAAAGGTACGTCACTTCCTGATCGCACCATCCGTTACATTTTGAATGCTTCATGGACGGAGACCCAGGAGGGCTCTGCTATTGATAAAAAAACACAAAACAAGGAGACAAGCATTCACCAAAAGAGATTTTTTGCTTGCACCATGAACAATTTTTTTTTTTTAAGTATTTTGATTCTCCCGAAATTTAATTAACAAACTCATATAAAGATAATGAATCTGTATTAGGATCAAACTATCCTTATATATATATATATATATATATATATATATATAGTTTTTATATATATTTTATAATCATAACAGTTAATTGCTTAATATTTTTTTGTTTAATTTTAGGATCCTGCCAAATGTCTGTTGGGTCACAGATGGAAAACAACAGCAGGAATATTTGTTTTACATCATAACTCTGTGTGACTCCACAACACGACCTTTCACCTTGTTGATACTACCTTTAGGCTAAATTGTTGTTTTCCATCAAGACAGACGGACGGATCCCAACAGAAGTCACAGCGATGTAGAAAAAAACAAGACAAACAACTTAAACAATTCTGGTGCGGGAAACAAAACTGTTTTGTTCTTGTGAGATTTTGTACAACCTTTGTTCTGACGATGAACTGAAATAACTTTCCCTCAAGCTAAAGCTTTTTTTTTATCTATTTTTTAGAATCCACACTCAAAAGGGAAATGATTACCTCATACCCAGAAATACATACATATCAAGGTTCAAGTTTCTTTACTGTCATTCACATCGCGTGGTACATGAGGTGGAATGAAACTGAATACTCATGGTCACAATTAAACTCCAAAATAGCAAAAGAATATGAAGTAAAAAAGGAAACAATACACAGTTCATTCAACCTTTATTTATACAGGTTAATCCCATTGAGCCTCAGGGACTCGTTTACAAGAGAGGCCTGATTTTAACAGAGTGATGACGACAAAGACAATAATAGACGATCGCAAAGGATGCGTACAGTTGAGATTTTTTTTTTCTAACAAGTGAAAATATAAGAAAATGTAACAAAAAACAGTTAGATTGTAAGATCTAAGATATACGCCAAACACTAATAAAGTAAAATAATACGGCATATTAAACAGAAGCCTGAACATGAGTCTGTAGTGAGCAGAAGGGTCTGAATACAGCCGCTTACACATCACCAATTAAAGTGGCATTACAGTGATATGTATGTATATCTATATCTATATATATATCTATATATATATATATATAGATGAGTGGTGGCACAGAGGTTAGAGAAGGTGGGCCTGGGATCAGAAAGTTGCCAGTTCGACTCCTCAGGCCGACAACTTTAAAATGTGGGTGTAAAAGGTGAAACACCCACACCTGCCTCCACCCTCATTTGCCCCACTCTGGGCTCTTGAACAAGGCCCTTAACCCCCACCATCTACTCCCTAAACAGGTCCCTCTTGTAAATGAGTCCTCGTGACTCAATGAAACTACCTGTATAAAGGTTAAATAAAATAAAAATAAATAAATAATATATATATATAGTTAGATTTATTGATGAATCGAGTAAAAAGAAAACATTAAAGAGGAGTTTTTTAGGCGTTGCCAACACTAAACTCTGTCTAAATTGTATTTTCAGGCAGGAAAACACGTGCACTGTGTCTGGGAGTGCTCATGTGGGATTTTGACGTCAGGGCCGAGTGAGTCAAAAGGCTTGAGGGTTGAACTTTCCCCTACTTCTCACAGACTCCACCATCTCTGAATTTTCTCCCACATTCCTCCTCCGGCAACTAGTCAGCTTCTATTTGAGACAAAACCTGAGTCTTCAGCTGACAGCCTGTTAATAGAGTCGGGTCGTTAATTCAGATCCGTCTATCTGGGATATACAACGTTGATGTTTTAGGATAAGAAGACCATATTCATTCATTCATCCTTTATTTAGGCAGGTTCATATTGTAGATGACTGTGTGCATCAGGCTCAGACGGATAAATAAAATCTGTGTGGATTCTTTCAACCTTTATTTATACAAGTTAGTCACATTGAGTCACGAGGACTCATTTTCACGAGAGACGTGTTTTAGACAAAAAAAACAGACAATAATAAACAGTCAGAACTATAGTCATTAAAATCTATTTTTTCCACTAAACATTTGCAGCTTTTCTCTTCCTGATTTTCTGAGCCAATGTAAAATCTAATAACCGAGTTTCTATTTTTAATTTTGAGGCTAATAATAGTATTTTAATGGAAGCAGAGCATGTAAGGAATAATTTAATCAACAAAAAACTGGATAGCTGGGACAGAAAAAAACTCCTCACTTGCCTGCATCACAAGTAATTTCAATGTTTTATTGCATCATAGCCTAAAGGGCTCTCCCCGCCTCCGTCTCCCCCATTCTACCTCCCTTTTTTAAGCAGCCAATCAAAGGAGGCCTCTGCAGCAGCATAAAACTATAAAGCCGTCATTCAGCAGCACACAACAAACAGAGACACAAGAAGAAGAGCTGATTTTAAATCAAACACACAAAGATGAAGATGCCTCAGCTTCTCATCCTGCTTTTGACCATTCTGGTCCACGCAGGAGACACGTTCCCCACCGACAGAGAGCGCCGGGACAAGCACGCCTCCTGGGACGATGTGAATGTGGTGGCCCACGGACTCCTGCAGCTCGGCCAGGGGCTGAAGGAGCACGTTGACAAGACCAAAGCCCAGATGAGAGACGTGAACGGCAAACTGAAGGTCTTCAACAGCACGGTGGCAGAGCTGGAGAGGAAGCAGCAGGAGGAAGGTGAAGCTCTGAAGGCCCAGAACAAGGAGGTGGACGAGAGGTACAGGCTGCTGGCAGAGCTGGCTGAGGAGGTGAAGCTGAAGGTGGGGGAGGTGGAGCGGCAGACGGAGGACATCACGTCCAGGATGGACAGATTGGAGGAGGTGCTGACAGAGCCGGCACTGGACAGCAACGACAGCGAGCACGAGAGACTTTCATTCATGCAGGTGAGCCGGTCATAACATTTTCAGATTGTGAGGATTCTCTTTAACAAGCTGAGAGCTTTAAAGAAGCACGAGCTCCCGACTGAATCCTGCCAAGCTAAGAAACGTTTTTGTTTCCAGAGGTTGATGGTGTCTCAGAACAGACGAATCGACCAGCTGGTGGAGAAGATCCAGCAGCAACAAGACAAACTGGAGAAGCAGAGTCTGCACCTCCAGGCCCTGCAGAGCAAGGTGAGATTTGAGACACCAGAATGTGAAACAACGAGCACGCCCTGAAATTAAAATGGCTCATCGTTTGTAAAAAATGGACGCGATTTCATCTGTTGACTTTGTTTTCTGAAGGTTGCGCATAAGAGAATGAAATCACACAGACGGAGAGACGAGGCCACGGCACTGAGAGGCGAGGCGGAGCATGTCCAAACTGAACCAGGTAACTTTTCCACTAATTCAACCTAAATATAAATATTACAACCGCTGCAGGGAAAAAAAAAAAGATTTTTGCAAAAGATCCTAAATACTTTTGACCCGTGGTGCATAAAAATTCAAGAGTTAATACTTAACTCGGCACAAACTAGAACAGACACAGGATTTAAACGCACATTTTTAAGTTTTAAAACCTAATTGGCCGTAAAATGTGTTATTTTTTATTTGTCAGTCGTGAGGACGAAGGCGTACGGGTTATTGATGGATCATAAAGTGAGTCGTACCTCTCACCTTTGCACCTTGAGATATAAAGATTGACTCGCTGGCAGAGACGGTGCAAAGATCAGAGAAAACGAGGGCAGCAGCTCTCAAAAACAAGGCGACTGTAGAAACAAGCTTCAGGGACACAGACAGCTTTGATACGTGGCAAAAACAAATATAATCAATATCTTGAAAAAGCTTCTGTAAATTCAAACAGGAGGTCACGCCGACTGATTTGGTTTATGTGTTTGGTTGTTAGCAGGTTTACCCAGAGACTGTCATGACCTGTTCGGACGAGGGCAGCGAGCCAGCGGCGTCTACACAGTCCAACCCGAGAACTCGAAGCCCTTCAACGTCCTCTGTCAAATGACTTCAGGTGAGTCAGGAAGTCTGATTGATTGGTCTCACAGAGAGATGCGTTATCAGTAAAAGCACATTGAATTCAAATATTTCCTCCTTCTGTTTAGATGGTGGATGGACAGTCATTCAGAAACGTCAGGATGGATCTCAAAGCTTTGACCAGCTTTGGGAGGACTACAGGAAAGGCTTCGGCAGCCTCGACGGTGAGATGAACCTTCCATTCAAATGTTGGCACGAACTAAGCACAGCTGGTCTGAAATCAGAAACAATAACCCAACCATTTCTCATATTTTAGGAGAGTTTTGGCTGGGTCTGGACAACATCCACTCCCTTTCCAGACAAGGCCAGTACGTCCTGCAGGTGGAGCTCTCTGACGAGGCGGGGCAGCAGCAGATAGCTCGTTACAAATTCCAACTCGAAGGAGAGGACAAGATGTTCGCTCTGCACCTCCAGCAGGAAGCTTCGTCGGGAGCTCAGGAGAAAATCTTGACCACCGAAGCTTCTGGTCTTCCCTTCTCCACAGCAGACCGAGACAATGACCTCACTGCAGACGTCAACTGTGCCGAGCTGCTCTCAGGTACAACTGAACGATCCGGCTTCAAAGATCTGATCAGAACGAAGTGAGGCTTTCTGAAATTTAAAGTCGGCGACAGTCTTTTTGATGAAAGTTGCTCGTATCTTGCAGGTGGTTGGTGGTTCAGCGGCTGTGGTGAATCAAATCTCAACGGCAGGTATCCCGCTCAGCCCGGGCAGCGCCGGAGACAAAAGTTTGGAAGGCAGACGATGTTCTGGACCATCACACCGGGACAGAGCGGCTCTCTGAGGACCACATTTCTTAAAATCGCACCAGCATCAATAAAACTATAAACCTGTTCCAAAAAGACTGAGTAGCCCAAAACTAAAGACACTTCAACTTAAGTGTTTTATTTTTTTACTTGATGCTGAACTACTGAACTGAAAAAACGCTGTAAAATGCACAACGCTGATCTCTCCTGATCTGATATTTTTATGCAATGCATAAGAAAACCCAAGCGAATACTTTCAGTCACAATGACTGCAACATGGTTCCCTTTGTGAGGGTTATTTTTATTTTATACGTTTTTGATTTAATTACTTTGTGGCTAAATAATGCCTTTTTTAAGTATTTGATCATAAAATGAAATGTTTTTGTAAGAAGTTGGTGAAAATAAACTTTTTTTAAATGGTAAAGACAAGTTGGTGCTGAATTTATCTTTGAATCTGCTCATATGTATACATGTATATTTACTGTATATCATTAGATTTTTAACATTAGATATAAATCATATGAAAAGAGCATATTCTATATTAAATTTGACAAAAGGTCCATTTAATATGGGGATATTATGGTAGTTAAATAATGTGGGAAGGAATGAGGATTTATGTTGGAGTTTATTTACTGTTTCATTCTTTTTTTTTTTTATTAAAAATGGTTTAGTCAGAGCAGTTTTACCTGCTGCATCAAAACAGAATATAAACCCATATAGAAATAAATAAGCCAGTAGAAATAAACATATCTGACACCAAGAGGCATTGATGCAACTCCTCCAACATCCATGATCTTTACCCACTTCCTGTTTGGGTCGCTGGTGTCCATGTCCAGGAGTCACTGTGTGAGAGGCGGGGGACACCCTGGACAGGTCTCCTGTCCATCTCAGGGACACATCGAGACAAACAACCATTCACTCTCTCATTCACACCTAGGGACAATTTAGTTACCAGTTAACCAAAAATGCACCATTTTGTTCTGTGGGAGGATTAATCAGTAAAATAAGAGTTGTTGTGCTAAAATGTAAATCAATAGTAGAGGATGTTGAGCTGCTGTTTGTGAATCAGTAATTTTACAAGGGCCCCTGTTTAATGTTTCACCTAAAATAATTAAATTGTAATTCATTCACAAAATACAGAACCTAAAAGACAGGTGTTATGAATGAGAGAAAGAAGTATTCAAATAAAGGTGGCGTTTATAGAAAAATTGGATTTCAGATTTTGAAGTTCTTTGAAATAAAATATTTTCTCGTTGGGGGTTAATTAAAATGGATCTTGTCTCAATCAGGTCGGGTTTTTTGAGTCGCACAAAGACGTTACTTACAAAATAAAACTTTACAAGTTACTGTCGCTACGAATGCCTGTAAAATCCAACAATGTTCAGTCAGGTCATCTGGACAGTTTGTTTTTTTTTTGTTTTTTTTGCTGAGAGACATTTCGCCCTCCATCCGAAGGGCTTCGTCAGTCTGAGGAGTCACAAACAAACTGTTTTCCCCACTATGGGATGTCCTCTCCACTGTCGACTCCTCCCAAGCTGCCACAGCCAAAGTGGTTCAAGACATCAATAATCCCCCAGAAACCATCTTATCACCATCAAACTGGTTGGTCCACTGTAGGAGTGTACTGCTTAGTGGGGAAAACAGTTTGTTTGTGACTCCTCGGACTGACGAAGCCCTTCGGATGGAGGGCGAAACGTCTCTCAGCAAAAAAAAAAAAAAAAAAAAAAAGAAGCTGTCCAGATGACCTGACTGATTTCGTACCTTGATTATTGAGTATAAACTTTAATGCCTGTAAAAATACAATAAAAGCCTTTGTAACAAATTGTTGAGAAAGATTGTTCACTTTTGTTTATTTCTTCAAAATTGGGAGTACATTTCACCACAGATGCGTCACAATCCGCTCCGCTTACAGTTTCAAGGCGGCGTGAGACTCGCTGCGAGTCCTGTGTCATATTCCCTGATATACGTTTACTGTGTGAGCAGGCGCTTCTAAACTAATACAAGGCACCCGAGACCGCCAACGCCTCGCAAATATCTTCTTACAGGTCAGTTTCTTGGCACCAAGGCAAATACGCACTGTGCAAAATTCCTCAGCAGCAGAAGAAAGAGAAGCTCCACAAAGTTAAAGCAAACGACCGAGAAGAACACCAAGAGGTCGCTACATGTGCCCACCAGTTCAGGATTTATAAAATCGTTTTTATATTACTACCCAATAAAAGTGTAAGATTTTACTTTTTTCTGTTACAACACAATAAAAATAATCTATGAGCTCACACGAAGAACAAAGCTCTAAATAAAACACCAAGAGTTTAAGCTCTTAAAGAGCTTTACATGTGTCGCCTTTACAAAGAGAACAGAAAGATCTTTCGTTTAGTCACAGATGAAAAAACGAAGTTGCTAAAAAAAAAAATGAAAGTAATGGCACAAAATACAAAGAAAGAAATCTGTTTAAAACATCAGGACAAGGTCCATGTTTGTCTGGTTTTACGTCATGTGTGATGCCGTCCTGCTTAAAGTGCAGCAAACTGCACTTTAAACATAAATAACCATTTCTGTCATTTGTTCCTTTTTAACCATCAATACAGATCTGGAAGCTTCATCCCTGTTTGTTCTGAGTGAACAGTGCCCTCTGGAGGTTTTGGGCCTTCAAAGGACACTAACATTCAAAAGCAGCTTAAAAGGCCATAATCATAACTATATCTTAATGCTGAAACGCTGCAGCAACTTTAAGACGGCTGATTATCTCTTGAGGTGTGGCATGGTTCTGTGTAATTTGCATTCATAAAATCAAGTCAGAGGTGATTTAGGTTTAGATAGAGAGCTTAAAGGAAAGGAGGACAAGAATCCAGGAGAAGGTCAGTGTGTGAAAAGGCTTATCAGAGATTCTGCTGGAGGAAGTGAAGCAGCGAAATCTCATAATGCTCTCCGGACTCCGGACACCTGATGCTGTGCCGTTCATTGGGATAAATCTGGAGGTGAAACACAACAAACATGTGTTAAGTCACTGTGTGGTTATTAGTCACTCATGCTTTTTTTTTTTTAAATTTTCTAGAAAACTTGACGCCAACATCCCAACCAAGAAGAGATAATTAATGTGATTAAACTCTCAAGCTCAAATGTGCCTATGATAAATATGTTCCTCACATTAGAAGAGAAAAATCTTTCTCAGAGTCTAACTACCGTATTTTGCAGCCTATAAGCCAAAGCAACGTATTTATGGATTTTTTCCCATATTTATAAATCAATTTTTGGCAGAGATATGACCGTTTTCATTCAATCAGACCAAAAAATTTTTTTGAACAGTCCCACTTTCAGCCATTATATGGCAGCAGAGTAGTAGTTGGTGTATGGGATGCTGTTGTGTCATATAGGTAACCGTGGCTACAATGACAAATTCAAAAAAGTTCAAGACAAAAACAACTTTTTGACAGTTTCTTTTTTGTTGTGCTGAAACGTTTCACCTTCCATGCAGAAGGCCTCATCAGTCAAGGAAACACACAACACAAAACTGATTCTTCCCACAACAGCTTCCTCCAAAGTGGAACAAACCAGTTATGTTGGTGCAAAGATGGTCTATTTGGCACGACCCCTTCCTCCGGTGCAGGCCCTCTCCCTCATCGACAGTCATGTCAAACTGGTTCAAAACCAACAAAGTCCATGCTCAATAATCCAGGTACACAATCCAACAATTTTCAGTCAGGTCACCTGATGAAGCCTTCTGGATGGAAGGTGAAACGTTTCAGCACAACAACAAAAGAAACTGTCCAGATAACCTGACTGAAAATTGTTGAATTGTTTAGGTGCTTTTCTTGTTAAATTTCAAAGAAACGAGCAGCGTTCCTTTTTTATTTATTTTGTGTCCTCCCTCTGCGCGCTCCCGAAGCACTGAGGCAGCGAATACAGCTGATTTGACTGTTAAAGCCCTTTTATTAATCAAATGTTAGACTACGACACACCTTTACTATAATTTTGAGCAAACAAATAATTGTTTTTAAGTGTTAATCTTGTTAAATTCTTGTTAAAAGTCCTCCTGTGCACGCTACCGCGGACGCCATTTGGCAGCTCATTGATTTTTGGCACAACACCGGCCCACGTTTCCGGGATGTCAGCAGTGACGCGTAACAAATGTGACACGTCAGCGGTGTGGCATAATAGATGCGACGTAGAAGCAACATATTTAAGGATTTTTCCACTTTTTTAGACATATTTGGACTGATGCGACTTATACGGTGGTGCAACGGGTACGGTGGAAAATACGGTAATCGACAGTTGTTGATCGTACCTGTAGGCTGTAGGGCTTTCCTGCTCGGATGAGCTGAGACACCAGGAAGTTTGTGTGGAAAAAGTGCACATTCTCGTCTAGAAATCCGTGCAGGATCAACAATCTGTTCGGCCTGTTGGAGCACAAAAAATAAAATAAAATCACACATGTGCTGACACATGGGTTAGATCATTTACTTTCATTTGCAGCAGAAGGAAAAGCTTGTGGTAGAAAGTTCCCCTCAACTTGTCAAGAATCTGTTTTAAATACTGTTCATTAAAACAGGCAATTACACAATAACTGGTGGATTAATAGAGTTTTTTTCTTAAAGAAAATTAAAACTAAAGTAGTTTCCAGAAATAAACTGATCATGCAGGACATCAATAATGAGTGAAATGTCTGTAAAATTCAAAAAGGTTTTACGTTACATTTAAATCAATAACATGAGGCTCACTCGTTAGGAAGTTTGTGGACATGCAGGGCGACAGAACAGGCTTCATAACCCTTTTGGTTTTTATCAGGTGTGTCCAAATATCGCTCTGTGTAGCCGGTGTCATACGCCATCCACAACGTTACCGGAGCACCTGCAACAGCAACCTAATCAACAAAACAGAAGACAAACACAAGCTTTTTATTCTTTAAGTAGTTCAAATGGAAAAATATGTCAAAGTTATCTACTACAACGAGAGCATCTTCCTGGATGGACGGAGGTCGCCGATCAACTTTTTCAGGCCTTTTTGTGCAAACAGTTAAATGTTTTGACATTAAAGTGTCTTCAACAAAGAAGTCAAGTCGTTTGCGATCTTAAATGTCCATACTTGATGGCTTGTTTTTTCAAATATTTGCACTTAATGTTTTAGAAAAGGTAACAGTAAAAAGGTAAAAAGTATGGAGACACTAATGTTTCTCCATTTTCTTTATCTATCCAGAGGTGAAAAACGATAAAACCAAATTCCATACATTTGCATTCTGCAGACTAAGAACACCGTCTTTCATATTTCAGGAATTATCAAGCTAATTCATTAAATATGAGCGTTACAAACATGTCCTGACAGTGACAAAAACTTCTTAAAAGTTGAAAATGGGGTTAAAAGCAAAATTAATGGTCTACTGTATCAACTGGATTTGATTTCATTAGTTTACTATTTAATATGTGCTTGAACTGGAGCAACGTAAAGAATAAAATAAAATAAAATACGGTATAAATTACAAGAACAGAGTACTGCATATGAAAATTATTCGCCTGACGACAAACTATACTGCAATCTATAGCAACAGCCCAGACAAGCAAAGAGCTTGTTTAACCTTTGACCTTGATTTTGAAGCTGGGGTGATGAAAAGTGTATTTCAAGTCAATTCAAATTTATTTATAAAGCACATTTAAAAACAGCAGCTATTATGTGACACTATGTCTGATGACGATATATACAGTATGTACAGTGGGGGAAATAAGTATTTGATAAACTACCGATTTTGCAAGTTTTCTACAAAGAATGGAGAGGTGTATAATTTTTATCATAGATATAGTTCAACTGTGAGAGACAGAATCTAAGAAAAAAAAAATCCAGAAAATCACATTGTATGATTTTTTATTAGCATTGTATTGTATGAAACAAGTATTTGATCAACTACCAACCAGCAAGAATTCTGGCTCTCACAGACCTGTTAGTTTTTCTTTAAGAAGTCCTCCTATTCTTCACTCATTACCTGTAATAACTGCACCTGTTTGAACTCGTTACCTGTATAAAAGACACCTGTCCACACTCAATCAATCACACTCCAACCTCTCCACCATAGCCAAGAGCAAAGAGCTGTCTAAGGACACCAGGGACCAACTTGTAGACCTGCACAAGGCTGGGGTGGGATACAGGTCAGGCAAGCAGCTTAGTGAGAAGGTAACAACTGTTGGCACAATTATTAGAAAATGGAAGAAACACAAGATGACTGCTAATCTTACTCAGTCTGGGGCTCCATGGAAGATCTCCCCTCGTGGGTTAAAGATGATGCTGAAGTCAAGAATCAGCCCAGAACTACACGGGAGGACCTGGTTAATGACCTGAAGAGAGTTGGGACCAGTCTCAAAGGGGTCCATTAGTAACACACTACGCCGTCATGGTTTAAGATCCTGCAGGGCACGCAAGGTGCTCACGCCACACATGTCTAGGCCCGTTTGAAGTTCGACAATAACCACCTGGATGATCCGGAGGCATGGGAGAAGGTCTTGTGGTCAGATGAGGCCAAAATAGAGCTTTTTGACATCAACTCCTCGCCGTGTTTGGAGGAAGAAGGAGGAGAACAACCCAAAGAACACCGTCCCAACTGTGAAGCACGGGGGCAGAAACATCATCATTTGGGGGTGCTTTTCTGCAAAGGAGATAGGACGACTGCACCGTATTGAAGGGAGGATGGATGGAGTCATGTATCGTGAGATTTCGGCCAACAACCTCCTTCCCTGAGTAAGAGCATTGAAGATGGGTCGTGGCTGGGCCTTCAGCATGACAATGACCTGAAACCCAACAACCAAGGCAACTAAGGAGTGGCTCTGAAAGAAGCATTTCTAGGTCCTGGAGTGGCCAGGCCAGTCTCCAGACCTGAACCCTATAGAAGATCTTTGGAGGGAGCTGAAACTCAATGTTGCCCAGCGACAGCCCTGAAACCTGAAAGATCTGGAGAAGATCTGTAGAGAGGAGGGGGCCAAATCTGTAACTGCAAACAAGGGTTTCCGTACAAAAATTAACTTCTGTCTACTGTATCAAATACTTTTTCATGCAATAAAATGTAAATAAATTATTTAAAAATCATACAATGTGATCTTTTGGATTTCGCTCACAGTTGAAGTGGACCTTTGATGAAAATGACAGACCTCTTCATTCTTTGTAGGTGGAAAAACTTGCAAAATCTGCCCTTTATCAAATAATTATTTCCCCCACTGTATTCTTTAAATTATCTGGAGTGAATCAGAAATGATGGGCAGGACAAGAGAATATTTACAGACAGAGACTATTCCATAATTCGTCCGCCTTCGACGAACGCATAAAAAGAGGAAAAGTGTCAAACAGCTCAAACCACCTAAACCTGTTCACTCAGTGTCAATATTCCCAGTAACCAAATAAATGCTGTGGTTCTGACCTTAAAAATGTCAGGTCTGTGGATGAGACCCATGAGGGAGAGGAAGCCTCCATACGACCAGCCGTGGATGGCAACACGACTAAGGTCTACAAACTTATACTTGTCAGCTATGTAGTGCAAACCCTCCACCTGGTCTTCAATCTCCACTTGACCCTGGATAAACAAAAACACGTTTCCACAGCGTCATTAACGTGTTACTGTATACTCCTTTATACACGTATTAGATACATTGAACAACAAAAACATGTTAAAACATGTTTCTCTTTGTATCTTTAGTAATTATTAGGGGTTGGGAGCTCTCTGAATGTTACTGCATATGTGTTCTAGTAAACATCTCTACACAACGGATGGCATCAGCTGGAAGCTTCGCCACATTTACCATCTTGTCTTTCACAGCTCCTTCAAACCTGAGCCCTCGCTGGCACGAGCCCCGCCCATCGATGACCAGCACAACGTAGCCCAGAGAAGCCAGCGTGCTCAACCGCAGATACTTCACTCCTTTATAGGAGTTGTTCACTAACTGCACCTGGAAGAACGAAGAAGACGTACATTCTGTCCTCCTGTGAACCTCAACATTAACATTTTATCTCGCAAAATGCATTGGGATATTAAACATTAAAGAAATTCATTTTAAAATTGTGAGAAGTCGCAAAGTAAACTAAGAATCTAACCTGAGGACCACCGTACACAAAGACGACAGCGGGATGCTTCCTGCCGGGGACCAGGTGATTTGGTTTGTACAACATGCCATACAGATCAAAGCCTGACTTCCCTGTAAAGCTAAAAATTTCTGCAGGGGAGGCATCAAACTGGTAACCTGCAAACAAACAAGAACAAAAAATGCTGCACAAAAGACAATCACCTTTACACCATGTGCTAACATCAGTGCTAAATCTGAAACCTGCATCTTCTAAAACAACGGCTGTAAAAGCCATTGGGATTAATGCTAGTCATAGATTTTGTCTTAAAAGTCATGATCAAGATTCTCAACCACTTTTCTGTCGAAAGTTGCAAAGTTAAAAAAGTTTCTTCCAATCAGTACCAGAAGCTTCCATCATGCTCGCCCAGAAGTGAGGCTCTTTGTGCAGCGGGTCGCTTTCTGAGCCCAACAGCTTGTAGATGTGAACACAAGGAGCGGTGGTCAGGCTGCTGTAGTGGCTGATAAACACGTCAAAGGTCTGCGTCGAAGAGAGGAGGAGGCAAGTCACTTCTGAACAGCATCTATCGTACAAATTGTTCTACTGGCTTTAAAAATACACTCAGCAGATGGCTGCTGCTACAGGAAGGAAACGGCAAAACGTCCTTGTTAATCCCTTAATTTTAAGTTCAGAAACAATTTAAAGACATCTTGGTGATTTAAAACACAGGCTGGTGTGTTGAGATACCTGGCTCACAGAGCAGCTGTGGGAGAAGCCGGGTTTGGTGAGCCTGACGATTTCACCAGGCGACTCGTAGCTCACCACGTACAGGTGGTGCTCCAGAGGAGAGTCTTTGGTTCCCTGGAAGTAAACCAGCTGCGTCGCCTCGTTCACCCAAATCTGAGGACTGCATGAACGCTGCACAGAAACAGCAGAGGAGAAGAAAAAAAAGAGACTAAAGTCTTGTTACAAGTATGTATCTCTGTAAATGTATCTTCATAGAAACCCTTTTCTGCACGTCTTTCACTCCTGAAAGACCTTACAGAAAATATTTTGATGAAGAGTCAGGATAAACAACTGAATTATTAAACAAACAGCCTTTTATATTTTATTTGCACTTTAACAAAATAGCATGTTGCATAGCATATGACTTGTTAAGTGAAAAATGTGTATTTTCTGTAGGAATAGCAGCTAAACTACAGAAGAGGCTTTCTACCACGGTGAGATTCAAGCAAAATACATTTTGGATTGAATTAAATATATATATTTTTTAGATCTTTATAACACTTTAATAAAACAAATGCATCCCGTCTTTTTGTTTGAACTAAATATTAACCAAATCTTTCCAGTCTGAGTACAGTAGTCCCTCGCTACTTCGCCGTTCGTTTATCGTGGACTTGCTCTATCGCGGTTTTTCAAAATAAGATTGGACACGACACACAAATGGCTGATTGATGGATGAGCCGCACGATCAGCATGGCATTCTTTATTGAAAATAAATTATTTGAAATTATTTAGCACCTGTTGCACATTTGTGCAGCCCTTACTGCTGCGGGATAAACTTAATACAGCAGCTGATCAGCTGTTCACTGTGCAGAGCAGAGGAGTGGGCGTGGCCAAGAGCGCTTGCAGGTGGCAAAGAGCAGCGGAGGCAGGGAGCTGAAATCATGACATTCTGTGCTCTTTTAGAGCTTTTAGAGTTTATAAACATTGTTTAGAATATTGCAAGAGTGTGGGATGGGTTTAAAACGCCTTTATACATACATATATATACACACTAAAATAAACTACTACTTACTACTTGTACTACTATTCCTACTTTGCGGTTTTTCACTTATCGTGGCTCTTCAGGGTACAGATCCCCCGCAATAAACGATGGACTACTGTCAATCATTAAAGCTTGAAGGTTATTGTGTGCTGTGATTTAAAAAAAAAAAACATATAAACAAACAGACAGATGATGACGAGACTTCAGCTTAAAATAATTAGACAGTTGTCAGGTCCGAGATATAAGTGTATGAATATTTGAAGAAAAGACGCCACTAAAACATACATTTTCCACATTTTAGTTTTTTTATGAATTTCCCTTTGTTTCACAGGGTTCTTGAGAAAGAAACTGAGAGCCACAACCTGCTCATTTTGAATCGATTAGTTGTAAACGATTAACATAAAACGTAGGCAGGACTTTTACCTTTGCTCCGTGATTGGCCAGCACCTCCCACTCCCCGCTGGTCACTGTCACCTCTTCTTTAACTGGACACTTAAAATCATCTGACGGCAGAGAAAGCAATAAAACAGCGCTCATATACAAACACAAAAAAAGTAAATAAAAAACAATACTCTGCTTGCACAAACACAGCAGCAAATAAACTACAATGTTCTGGATTAAAACAACCCAAATGTTTAAACAGTGTGGTACAATTTAAACTGTAGGTTTTAGATGTTAAATGTTTTTTTTCCTCACATTTAATGTAATATTTTCATGAGACCACCTTGAGCTTTCACACCAGTGTTACCTTCAGAGTGTGTGTAGCCTTTGGCCCAGTGATAGCTCTTCCGCTGTAACACTGAGGTGATTTTATACAAGTGGCAGAAGCCTGTTTTGGACTCATTTACTGTGATGAAGGTGAACTCGTCATCAGAAGTTTGGAGGAAAGGATGGAAGATGTCGTGGACCTGCAGAACAAACGAAAAAATAATATGGCTAAAACAATTACAAAGCAACATTTTAGTTGTAATTTCAATTCTAAATGGCTATAATAACCAAGGTCTGCAAATAAGGAACAAATTCATTCCTCAGGCAAAAAGGAACTAAAATACTGAATTGTACATAAACATCTTGAGAAATATACAATTAGAGTCAAACTGAAGGGAAACTATACAGGAACATTTATGGTTTATTATGAACACCACTGACATGATGTGATGCTGGACCTTACATTGATCCAGATATCGCTGGTCTCTTGGTAGACGATGAAGGGATGGACGGTGTCTCCGAGAGCCTCCAGGCTCTCCTGTCTGACTTTGTCCTGATGTGCAGGGATGAAGAGTGCAGGAGGCAGCAGGACTAGCTGGAGGTGCTGCTGCCGTCGATCCATCATGACCGCCCACGCACTGAGATCAGAGACGAAGAGCTGTGACTAACAGGAACTTTTAATAGTCCGGTGTCATGTCTAATCTTCGGCTGTGATCCCGCCGGTGGAGTTTTATGCCGTTTCTAATTCTTTAAGTAGAAACTTACTATCGACCGTCTCTCGTCCATCCAGCTCTGGTGATGTACTCAACGTTGGGAAACAAACTAGTAAAGGGAACCGGCAGCTCCTTCTCCTGCGTGCTGACAATCTAAGGGAGAACAACCAGAACTCAGCACTAACCAAAGCAGTATCTACAGAGTAAATTAACACAATATAGTAGTACCTCGTTTATCACGGGGGGGGATCCGTACCCTGAAGCCCCACGATAAGTGAAAAACCACGAAGTAGAAACAGTAACACATGTAGTAATTAGTAGTTTATTTTGGTTTATACTGTATATACAGTATACAGACACTTTCCAAAAAATTTGAATATCATGGAAAAGTTGTTTAACTTCCATAATTCCATTCAAAAAGTTAATCGTTAATAGATGATAGATTCAGGGCTCACAGTTTAAACGATTTCAAGTATTTATTTGTTTATTTTTACATAATTTGGGCTTCCAGCTCATGAAACCAACGAAAACAGGATTTCAAAAAATTTGAATACTGTGGAGAAAACAGCCCACATTCTGCAGGGCATGAATGTTTTAAACTGAGTGTGACACTAATCATCTACTAAACTCAAAGCACCTGCACAGGTTTCCCCAGGTGACATTAAATTGCTTAAGTTTGGTTCAATATGGGGAAGACTGCAGACATAACTGACCAGAAGATCATCATTGATGGCCTCCATGGGATGGGTAAACCACAAAGGTTCATAGCTAAGGAGGCTGGCTGTTCACAGAGTGCTGTGTCCAAGCATATTAATGGAAAGTCTAGTGGAAGGGCAAAACGTGGCAGGAGAAGATGCACCAGCAAAAGAGATGACCGTGAGCTTCAGCGGATTATCAAACAGAGACGATTCCAGAATCTGGCAGAGATCCAGAAAGAGTGGAATGAGGCGGGAGTCACAGCTTCAAAAACCACCACATTCAGACGCATCTGGGAGATGGGCTACAACTGTCGGGTTCCTCGGTCCTCTTTTCCAATGAAAGTAAAGTGTGCCTTTCATTCGGAAATCAAGGTCCGAGGGTTTGGAGGAAGAAGGGTGGGGAACAGAACCCATACTGCTTGAGGTCCAGTGTGAAATATCCACAGTCAGTCATGATTTGGGGTGCAATGTCCGGTGCAGGTGTTGGTAAACTCTGCTTTCTTAAATCCAAGGTCACCACAACAGTCTACCAGAATGTTTTAGAGGACTTCATGATTCTTTCTGCTGAGGATCAGTATGCAGATGCAGATTTCATCTTCCAGCAGGATCTGGCCCCTGCCCACGCTGCCAGAAGCACCAAAACCTGGTTTGATGTCCATGCCACAGTGCTTGACTGGCCAGCCAACTCACCGGACCTAAACCCCATTGAGAATCTATGGGGTATTCTCAAGAGAATGAGGGGCACCAGACCCAACAACAAAGAAGAGCTGACAGCAAGCATCAAGGAAATCTGAGCTTCCATAACTCCCAGTCAATGCCACAGGATGATTGTCTCAATGCCACGTCGCATCGAGGCAGTGACTAAGGCAAAGGGATTCCCGGCCAAGTACTAAAGACTGACATATCGTTTTGAAAGTACCATATTTTGATTGATTTGTTGTGATCCTAATTTATTTCTTTTTTTTCTGCAAAAACTGAGTGGTGTGGGCTGATTTCTTCACAGTATTCTAATTTTTTGAAATCCTGTTTTCGTGGGTTTTATGAGCTGGAAGCCCAAATTATGTAAAACTAAATAAATAAATAAATACTTCAAATAGTTTAAATTGTGGGCCCTGAATCTATCATCTATTTAAAATTAACTTTTTGAATGGAATTATGGAAGTTAAACAACTTTTCCATGATATTCTAATATTTTGGAAAGGGTCTGTATATAAAGAAACCCACTAACTTTCAATTAGAGAGGTGGTTCTTTAATTTGAGTGCATAAACACATACAGGGAGAAAAAGCTTTCAGTCAAATAATAATAAAATCTGCTCAACATGATTAAGCAAGGATGTCTTTTTTAAACATTTGAATCAAAGGGAGAAAATTGTTGGCAGTTAAACTTGTTTTGATTTCCTAATGAGAAATTATTATTTTACATCCTCTGAAGAACTGAACCCCTCAGTCAGCAGCTGCAGACAGAAAGAACCTCGTGGAAAATTTCTGATTATAGTTAAAGTACAGATCTGTACAAGTTTTGTGTTTTATTGAAGATGAGACTTACAACTTAAAAAACCTCTCCATATACATTTTTTCATCTTCTTATTCTTAATATTCCTAATTCATCTTTAGTGCCTCAATTTTTAACTTAAGCAAATTACTTTATTCCTTCTATAGTAAAAAAATGTATGTGTATATATATATATATATATATATATATATATATATA